TTAAGTTCTTCAAAATTCAAGGTTTTCCCATCTTGAAAACGGTCTGGTAATTTTTTCCCATTGTTATTACAGTAAATAGGGCTTATGTGTGTATACATACATAACAATTTAAAAAAAATGAGTAGTTGCATACAAATTTTCCATGAATCGATGAATCCCAAAAAGTGTCTTTTAATGACTTTTAAATTCTTCAAAATTCAAGGTTCCCCCCCCCACCCCTTGAAAATGATTCAATTAATCAATGAACTTCAAAGATAAAGGGTCCGGGTTCCCCGGGAAAATTTCGATTTCTAGATGGCGGGAGATGAGCTTTCCTGACTTCTGAAATGTCTTTTAAAGTTCTTCAAAATTCAAGGTTTTCCCCTCTTTAAAAAGGTCAGGTAAATTTTTCTCATTTTTTATTTTATGTGTGTATGCATACATAAACAAATGAGTAGTTGCATGCCTATTCTTTTTTCCATGAATCGATAAATCCCAAAAAGAAAGGGTGGTCCGGGGGTTCTCCCCCGGGAAAATTTTAATTCTTAGATGGCGGGAATTGAGCTTTCCCGACATTTGAAGCGTGATTTTATGAATTTTATGTTCTTCAAAATTAGAATTTTCTAATAGCAAAAAAAAAAAAAAAAAAGAAAAGAAATCAGCTCACGGGTCCTGAAAAGGTAGGTCTAGAATTCTTTTCTTTTTGCCTTTTTTTGTTGCCCAAGGGAGGGGTAAGGACCAATGACCCCCCTCCCTCAGATCCGCCAATATATATAGAATACGCATGCAACTACTCATTTGTTTATGTATGTATACACACATATAATACATAAAATAAAAAATGAGAAAAATTTACCTGAACTATTTCAAGAGCGAAAACCTTGAAGTTTGAAGAGCTTTAAAAGTCATTAAAAGACATTTTTGAAGCCAGGAAAGCTCATCTCCCGCCATCTATAAATCGAAATTTTACCGGGGGAACCCGGACCCTCTTTATCTTTGGAGTTCATTGATTAATTGAATCATTTTCAAAAGGAGGGGGGAGGGGTACCTTGAATTTTAAAGAATTTAAAAGACACCACAGAAGTCGGGAAAGCTCATTTCCCGCCACCTAGGAATTAAAATTTTCCCGGGGAAGAACCACAGGACCCCCCCCCCCTTTCTTTTTGGGATTTATCGATTCATGGAAAAACTACGTATGCAACTTATTCAATATTTTTTTATGTATGTATACACACATAAGGCCTAATTACTGTAATAACAATGGGAAAAAATTATCTGACCGTTTTCAAGAGTGGAAAACCTTGAATTTTGAAGAACTTAATTACTTTTAAGTTCCGAGGTGTCTTTTTTTAAGTTTTAAGTTCTTCAAAATTCAAGGTGTTCCCCTCTTGAAAATTATTATAATGAATCAATGAACCCAGAGAAAGGGAGGTTCGATTTCTTCCCGGGAAAACGTTGATTTTTAAATGAGATTTCCCGACTTCTGAAGTATTTTTTAATGACTTTAATTAAAAAGACACCTCAGAAGTCGGGAAAGCGCATTTCCCGCCTTCTAGGAATCAAAATTTTCCTGGGGAAGAACCCCGGACCCTCCTTTCTTTTTGGGATTCATCTTATGGAAAAAATCGTATGCAACTACTCATTTTTTTTAAATGTATGTATACACACATAACATGCCTATTTACCATAATGAGAAAGTTTACCTTACCGTTTTCATGAGGGGGAAAACCTTGAATTTTGAAGAACAAAGTCATTAGACACCTAGCTCAAAAGTCGAGAAAACTCCGCTTGGCTTGTTGGCCAATTTTTAAGAATGTTTACTATGGAAATTAATTTAGGGACCGATCGTGTGCGACGGTCCATTTGCCTTTTGTCGTAATAAATCACGACCGAATCACACTATATCTGATCATGTGTTACGTTATTGTGTACAGTGTGTTGAGGGTGACTGTCAAGAGTGGGTGGGGCCTTATAGTTAATTCTTAGCCCAGTAGACACAAATAAATTTTCCGACACCAGCGGAAAAGGTAATTTCCCGCCATCTATAAATCAAAATTTTCCCTGGGGAGGAATGTTGACCCCACCACCTAAATTTGAATTCAGATCTGCATGATTCATATTCCCATTCATCTTATAAGCAGTGGCGTAACAGGCGGAGGGCCAGGGGGAAGACTGTCCCCCTGGCGGTTTTTATCGGGCTGACCAAGCCGTCGTACCGGGCTGGGTAAGAAGAGAAAAGAAAGAGGGGAGAGGGAGGGAAAGAGAAAGAAGGGGATAGAAAAAGAAAGGAAAAAGGAAAAGAAAAGAGAAAAATAAAGACAAGAGTAAAAAGGAAGATATAATGAACAGATATCACAATACCCCGGCCTGCAACCCCTTCTCCACTTCAAAAAGTGTCCATATCGCATTTGATCTAAGCCGCCAGCTATTCTCCGCAGTGGCGTAACCACCGGGGGACAAGGGGAAAATATCCATCTGTGGAAAATCTTTCCCCATTGAATGCCCTTTTCACCCGGGAAAGTGCCAGAAAATCTCAAATTTTAAATCGCATATTTTGTTGAGGTAGGTCAATTTCCTCTAAAAAATTGCACATTTTAGGGAGTTTCGATCAATTCCGACGAAATTAGAATTAAAAAAACAAAAATTATTCGCGCGCTTCGTGCGCATTTTTTAATGTTAAAGCTTCTGCTTGCTTTCCTTTGCCTTCTAAGTTATAACACATAGTCCCAAACTCAAGAAAGAAAATTTAAGATAGATCGTTTTACCTAAAAGAAGGGCCTCAATGTATAATGATGTTGAAAGAATATGTTTGTGTTAAATAAAGCCATAAGGAAAATGCTTATATTCAGTTTAAAAAAAAACGAGTGTGGCCATATATAACATAAGAGCATTTCTTGTTGAGGTAGGCCAATTTCCTCTAAAAATTGCACATTTAGGGAGTTTTGATAAATTCCGACGAAATTAGAATTAAAAACACAAAAAAATTTTCGCATCGCGCATTTGTTAGGGTTAAAGCTTGTGCTTGCCCTCCTTTACCTTCCAAGTTATTTAAACACATAATAGTCCCAAACTTGAGAAAGAAAAATTAAGATAGATCGTTTTACCTAAAAGAAGGGTCTCAATGTGTTATGATAGTGAAAGAATAGGCCTATGATTGTAATAAATAAAACCACGATGAAAAT